CTCCCGCTCCATGGAAGCGGCCAACGGGGCCGTGCCCGAGGGCGCGGCGGAGCAGCCCCGCGGCCCCGCGGCCGCCCCGTCGGGCAGGAAGGAGGTGAAGGTGGTGATCGTGGGCGACGGAGGCTGCGGGAAGACTTCGCTGCTGATGGTGTACGCCAAGGGCTCCTTCCCCGAGGTGAGGGGCTACCACCCGCAAGGGGATGGGGTCCGCATCCGGGGCCGGCCCCAGCGCTTGGGCCCCGCCAGCACCGCTTCTCACAATTACAGAGTCCATTAAGGTTGGAAAAGGCTTCTGAGATCACCGAGATCGTTCTCCTCCCTTTGCAGCAATACGCGCCCTCTGTTTTTGAGAAGTACGCAACGAGTGTGACGGTGGGGAAGAAGGAGGTCACCCTGAACCTGTACGACACCGCAGGTAAGGGGTTCCGCTTTCCCCATGCCAGCCGTGGGGCAGCTCCTCTGCGGCCACTGCCATGGCACCACTCAGGGACATTGGCCTGGGACTGAGCCCAAACCCGGCCCAGCCTTTCGTAACTTCAGGCAAATAAGCAGAAACTGTCCTGCTGTAAAATGTTGCTCCGGTGAATGCACCTCCATTTCTGTTACAGCAAATATTTCACTGTCAGCTTAAACTAGACCAATATTTGAAGACCGTAAAGATGGACAGATTTTCAGATTGCTTCTCTACCAGCATAGTTAAACCATAGCGTTGCAGGTGAGACTTCTAGAGACTAAAGTACAAACAAACCAACCATCATTACCTGTTGTATATCAATGTGCCTTTCAGAAAAAAAAAGGATCAGTTGTCTAATGGCAACTCTGCTCATTGACTCATTCATTATCTTAACAACCCAATTAATTCAGAAACATCAAATAGCAAACATATCTGGAAGTATTAAAACTCAATTCCCAGATGCAAAGCATAATACAATCAACCAGGAAAATATTTTAATCTGCTGCCATGTGTGATTGAATAGGGAAGGAGAAAAAGGCTGGTTTGTGTTCAAAATCAAAAGGCCGTGGCAGTAAAAGTTATTAGAAAATGCTGATAGTTGTTCAGGTTCATTTGAAGAACTTGTGAAATGGTTTGTGTTCAAATTCACTCAAAGTTCCTGGACTGTTATCCAGCTGTGTTCCTAAATGAACCCTAAAATTGAAACGTACTCCGTTTCAGCTCAGTGTAAATCATCTGTTTCAGTTCAAGCCTGTGAAGTTGTTCCAAATTTACACCAAGACAAATAAAATCTGAATGCAGTCCAGTCATTTTTAATAGTAATAAAACATACCTTCTTGTATACTGCATGTGATAGGTGAAAACATAATTTAAAAAGCTTTTAATCTAGAAGTGGATTTCACTGCTAATTTTTACTACAGTGTAGTAAGATCCTGAGAACCCAATTTGCCAATGTGTCTTCTTGTGTCAGTGTTACTGTTCTAAGTCCATTTAAGTGGGATAACATACTTTCTGCTGAAGAGCAAGGGGTTTGGGTCTAAGTCTTAGAGGAAAAGAGAAGGACTGGAATCTGGTGTGAGCAACCAAAGAGTTAATACAGGGTGTTGGCACCAGGAACCTGCCACTGCACTCATGATTTTTATGTTTGTTTGCTGTCAGTGGGGATTTTTTGCCTGTCACATAGTTCCTAGCTCTCATTTAAAATCCCTGTGCCACACATTCCAGCATTTGCCTTTGGAGTCTCTTCCAGGCTGTAAGGAGCACGGGATGGATCTGGAGATGGGAGTAGGCTGGGCAGGTCCAGCATTGCAGCACCGAGCTCTCCCAAGCCTGGCAGGAGTGCACAGCTCTTTGTGTCTCAGAGTTTAGCTTTGCACAAGACCTGCAGCCACCAGCAGCCCAGGGACCTCACTGAGCCTGGTGCTGGTGGCTTACCACAGAATCAGGAGAGTTTGGGTGGGAAGGGACCTTTAAAGGTCATCTAGACCAGCCCCTGTGCAATGAACAAGGACATCTTTAACTAGATCAGGTTGCTCAGGGCCCTGTCCAAGCTGACCTTGAATGTTTTCATGGAGAGAGCAGCCACGGCTTCTCTGGGCAGTCTGTGCCTCATTGTGAAAAAAATCTCCTTTTTGTCTATCACAAGTCTGCCCTCTGATAGTTAAAACCATTAACCCATGTCCTATAATTTCCCTGTTCATGCATGTAGCAGGCAGTGTGTACCTTCCACATTGAAATCAGCTGTAGAAACTGATTTGGACTAAAGCACTGCCCCACAGAAGAACAGTGGGGTGTATTTTCTATCTCGTGAGACACTGGGAAGTGGAGCTGCCATTGTTGCCATGAAAGAGCAATTGCTTTCCATCTCTCATCTGGAAACCTTGAAACCCAACATTTTTCACCTCCCAAAACAGCATCATGGCCACAAGGCTACAAATTTCTTGAGGCTGTTCACACTTGTCTCCTCCCTTCCTGTTAAATTTCTTTCGCTTTCCATAAGACAGCAAGAAAGAAAGCGGGAAGATTGTCACCCAGGTTAAGACATTTGATTGTGAGGGGGGAAAACCTGAATTTTGGTTCTGTTTCAGAGCTGCTTACATAGTTTTATGTTACATATCTGTAAACTCTGTCAAACTCTAATTCAAGCAGCTTTACAGCCTCTTTCTGTAACTGGAAATTTTGCTAGAGGAAGGACTCACTTGAGCACACATTTTAATCTCATCCTGTTTTTAATATTACAAAACTGCTGTTGAGTTCCTTAAGGGTTAGACTATGACCAAGAGTTGTGTATTTTTAGAATCTTTCTTGGAGCAACACTAAATAGAGCTGGGTGTACTTCAGCATCATGGAAAGGTAAAGGACAGGTTCAGCTCCATGGGCTGCTTAAAATTGGAAGGATTCTTTGTATTGTCAAGTCCTGTGCAGCTTGACCCTTTGAGCTTGTCCTACTTACAGGGAAGGAGGACACAAACAAAAAGCTTTAAGAAACAAATGTTTCAAGATACAAAAGCTATTCTTTTCTTGACAAGAATTTCGGTAACAAATGAACTTAATGGGTTAGTCTAAAATGTACCAGAAAAAGAATTTTTGGTGAGAGTTGTGCACTGTCCTACTGTGTCTTACTCATCAAACACTTCTTGCTGTTGCAGGAAGTTGGTGGTACACATATGTGTAATGGCTTTGTAATGTCACTTGTCTGGTCTGCAAACAACCTTTGCAGCTGCTTTTTCAATTAAAATTTTCCATTTCCAGCTGTGCTTGACAGAGGCAAAGGCACTGTGAGGTAAATGAACTCTGTAGTTTTTCCATGCCAAGGGAGCAGTGTCAATGCTCTAGGTGCAGTTCAGACACGAGGCTCAATTCCTGGTGCAGGAGTTTCTCAGAACAGAGAGCAGAGCACTGCTGAGCTGGGGAGGAAGTAATGCCTCATCATTGTGGCTTCTTGCTCTGCCTGACAGGAAGCACATGCAAGGCCTCCAGTGAGGTTTTTCAGATCTCTGATGTCAGAAGCATGAGGTCTTCAGAGAAATTTTAAAAGCCAGTGAATGCAAGAATAATTTCTCGTAACTTCAACAGGGAATTCATGGCTGAGTAAGACAAAAGCCCCAATTTTTTAATTGACGTGTGCCCCTCCTGCCCCAGGTATCCTCTTCTACTAATTTTCTTCCTGCCAAGAATGTCTGTTTCCCAATTTGTTTTAAACTGAATAGGGAACAAACATAGGCTCACAGGCTTGGCACTTCTTTGGTGATGAATGGGCAAAGGGGTGAGGAAGAGCAGAAAGAGGTTAACATGCACATGAGACCTGTGGTTTCACTTCTGTTCACCCTCAGCCATCACCAGAGCTCCCTCCCCACCTCAGGGCCTGACTGCAGTGATGTGGTTACACAGCATCTCCCAGAGGCATGCAGGACTGGGAACTTGGCAGAGAATTAGCAAATTTTAGGTGAATTCAGTTGGGTGGAGTTTTTTCTTTAGAAAAACCCAAAGCCTCTCATGGTACAATGAATTGAGGAAGACAGAGGGGTCACAGATGTGCTCACACGTAGGCAGATACTTAACCAACTCCTCCACAGCATGTTTTGTGTTAACTGGGGAAAGAAAACAGCTACCTGTGTTGGAGGAAGCATTCACAGGGCTTTGCACAGACATTCAGTTACTGCTTAGGTTCACCCCTGTTCCTCCTTTGTAAAACTCTTTTAGTAAAAAGACCTAAATCTGTGCCAAATTAGCTCTGACCACAGACTGAGCAGCTTTATAGAGGGAAAAAAAAAGTCTCTCAGGCCCTTTCTTGCATTTCACCAGCAGCACTTGAGGACAAGGGGTGAAAGGGATTGTTTTCAGAGAGGGGGATGTCTATGTTTAGACACAGCTTGATCTGGGTCCCGTTACATCCTCAGCAGCTGAGGAGCTGCATCTGAGCTCCTAAAAAGCAGCTTTCTTTTCCTTCCCCGTGAGTGCTGCAACCACCCAACTGTAATATAGGTTAAGCAATTGCCACCTTACCTTCCCCCTCTGCTCTCTGCACCCCGCCTTGTCCTGTGCTCTGTATCCAATATTCCAAATATTGCATTTTCTCATGCATTTATTGTTTGCTTAAAAACCCATAACTGCAAAGCTAGATTTTTAAAGATGAAGGAGCAGTTCACCAGGGTATATCTATAGTTTTTGACTTGCAATACAACATGTTGTGTCACATAATTAGACACTTTTTCTGTTATCCCATCCAGGAGAGTGTGAATTTAGAGGTTTGTTCTGATTACAAGCAAATAAACATGATCCTCCCAATGGGACAGCCCTGTCTACCTCACAAATTGCCAACAACAACTCAGAGGACCTTTTAATTTTACAAGCTATGTTGTTAAAAACTCAGAGGCCTGAATTTCAACAAGGAAAACTTTACACAACACTAGTGGAAGTTAGGAGGGAAAAAAAGGTTTGGCACCTGATGCATTTAAGGGATTGTCTCAGCAACAAAATGGCAAATTGGTTGCAAAGAAGTAGATGGATTGGGAGAATAAGAAGGGATAAGCAGTACAGTCTTTGCTCTGAATATTTATACAACATGCATAATTTTGTCAATTGTGTATTATTTCTGGATTAAACCCTGAGAGATCAATCCCTCTTTGTTCTGCACCTCCCCATAGAGCACATGGCTCTTGTGGAAGCTAAAATACAAAGTGGTCCAAATCCAAGATTCCCAACATCTCAGGCAAACTGAGTAATGGCTTATCCAGCAGGGATTTCCTTGGAATAAACTGTATCTCAACCAATCATTTAAACTAAGGAAGGGAGGAAAATACTGTTGTATTATTTGCCTTCTGGTATCTGCAGTTCTTCAGACTGGAAACAAAAGTGTTGGCAAGTGATGAGTACATGATTTTGGACTGAGGTGGGTGCCAGAGTAAGAATCGTTGCTGTAAAGTTGGGGCACACTGAAATTTTCTGCATTTCTTAATTTGAAATATCAACATGAAGATCTGAGATGTGGAATTTCCCTGTAGGGCACCTTCTGGTCTGTGTGTGGATTGTGGTGATAGTGGGAAGGAATTCCCAGCATTCCCAGTCCTTCTCATGGAAATTCAGTACATCACAGGCAATTATCTGATTCCAGCCTCCAGATGATAAATACACCTTCTACAGACTGCTTGAATCATGCTTTCTTCCTTAATAAAGGAAAAAGATTGGGGTTTTTTTTCCTGAGCTGCCAGCTGTATCTGGGAATTACTGCTTTCTTGACCTTAATCTCTCAAAGCAAGACACCTTCAGACCCTGGCACAGTGATTACTGTAAGGGGAAGAGTACAGGTCTGAAGCAAATCAGCTTCCTCTTGTCACATCACGTGCTAGAATATCCCTAATCAGAAGTATGACAAATCCCCTGCTTTTCCAGAATTCAGCAGAATTTCCTTAGATCTGCTGGGGAGTCCTGCTTCAAAGGCCAGTTAAGCCTGGCTCATGCTGCAGCATGGCTTATACAATCCTGTGTGTAATCGCTGCTTCCTCTCAGCTCACCAGGCTGGGAAAAGCAAGTTTGCCACTTCACAGGATTCTACTTCATCATCACTGTCTGGCAAATACAGTGTTTCTTCTCCTCACAGTATCACATGTGCAAATGATTTTGGGGACTGCCACTGTCAAACTGAAAATGTTTCATAATAATTGTCAGATTCCTCTTGATGACTTTATTTTTGAGCAGCAACTTGGTGGTCAGTGTTTAGAACTGCTCCTAAGTCCTCAGCAAGTGGACAAAGCAGGCTTTTTATTAAAACCCACCAAGGATGTGTTCTGTATTCTAAACCGTCGGTTTTGTCAGTGAGGGGGAATCTCCTGTGCTCAAGAGATGGAATTTTAATTGGCAGTCTGTACAATGATAGTACCATTGTTCTTGATCACAAGTACATGTCTGTACATATCCCCATTGTTCTGCTTGTTCAGGACAGAGATTTCTTCATCCAAACCATCCTGTGTGTTTCAGGGCAGGAGGACTACGATCGGTTACGGCCACTTTCCTACCAGAATACCAATGTCGTGTTAATTTGTTACGATGTCATGAACCCCACTAGCTATGAAAATGTAGCAGCCAAGGTAAGAGGCTTCTAAATGAGTTACACATGCCTGATATATGACAAGATGTCAGATTAGAAATGCTGGTGCTTTTAGTGTCCTGTACCCTGGGCTTGTAGATGCCCAGATCACTCATCATGTGCTGAGCTGCAGGTCCCAGACCTTAGACCTGGGGCTCACCTCACCATGGCTGCTAAGTGCTCAGAACCAGGGCTGACTCTGACTAAAAAGATCAAACACCAGCAATGAAATCACTGTAGCAATGTCACACAACCAACATTGCACATCTTAGAGTCAAGACTACTTCCATCACATGTGTATTTAATTGCAGGGGAGAGGTGAGTGCTGGGATTTCTGTGATGCTCCAAAGCATTCTTGGACATAGCACCAGGAAAACAAAGCAAGACTTAGACCAAATTCTGTTTTTAAATGTGACTTTAGAGGAGCTCCTCAGAATTTAAACAAATGGTAAATAAACATTTTGGCATAGAGACACATGCCACTATGTTTTTATAAAACAGCTGACTTTTTTTGACTTTTAAACATTTCTGGGATGTAAACAGTGCATGTTGCCCCCCCACCTCCTCCCCACTAGACTAACTCCAAAGCTCTGAAATTGCAGCTTACATTAAATGCTGCTTGGCTGTATTGTTTTGATTTCAGGAAACAGACAACAAAATAAAAGCCAGATGTAAAAGTTTTGTTTTTCTACCCCCAGTGGTATCCTGAAGTGAATCACTTCTGCCGGGGTGTCCCGCTCGTGCTGATCGGCTGCAAGACAGACCTTCGGAAGGACAAGGAGCAGCTGCGCAAGCTCAGGGCTGCCAAGCAGGAACCCATCACCTACAACCAGGTAAACATCGGTGTTTCTAAAGTGGTGGCCTCTTGGCAGGAGATAAAGCATGTGATGGCATTGCTCCTCACAGTTGTCATCACAGACATTGCAAAATTAGGTGATCCAGATAAAGAAATGATTGGCAGAACTAACAGGTTTCTGTAAGTTCTTTTTGGAAGTGATCAAATCACCAACCATTCTTAGTGCCAAAGTAAAGAGAAATATGAACAGTTTTAAAGGACACAGCTATCTACCTTCTATGCTCATTACATCTCATTCTTCTTTCATAGCTGGGTTATTACTGTTACAAGTTTGTAAGCCTTAATAAGTTTGCTGGTCTTCCTTCATAATTGTTATTAGCCTACAAGGCAGTCATCACTGATGCTTTGATCAGTACTATGATAAAGATTGGAGATGTTAAGAAACAATTCCAGTATTAAATACACTGACTGTTTTTCAAATCCTACTTAAAAATAAATCCTTTCAAGGACAATAGCAAGAACATCTGCAAGGTTTCTCTGACATGAGTTTTCTTTGAAGTCTCTAAAGTAATCTTAAGAAAACTACATATTATCAGTAACTCTAAGTATTATGAAGCAGTGAGATTTATGAGTAGTGTTATGTCACTGGCATAGCTGTCCTAGGTGCAGGAGAAATAGTGATGGAACAGCTTGTCCCATGTCACACAAGACCTTTCTGCTCTGGTCCTTCAATTTTTCTTTTTCTTTTTTCTGGACTGTAAAGCCATCCTTCTCCTCTCACCTCAGAGCAAGAACAGCAGCTTTCAAACTGAGACACACGTCCAGGGAACAGGGTCAAGTGCACGATGACCTTGAGTGAATCACCACTTCTTCTAAACAGGAAAATAAACTGCAACTGCATCACTATGAAACCATGCTGGGCCTTTTAGTTTGTCTCCTTTGCACACAAGATGAGGTCCCAGCCTGTCGTTGTGAGCAGTTGCAGATTGTCCCTTGTTTGCATGAATAAATCCCTTCATCATCCTCACATGAGAGAGGTTCCAGGCAAGCAACAGACACTTCTGAGTCTGCTGAGGCCTCGTGCAGTTAAACTCAAGGACCCACATGTTATACAATCTGTGTCTCCTATGTGAGCCCTCTCACTTGGTTTTTCCTCCCTAAATATGCTCTACCTCAGTTTTTTACAGCTGATGGCACCTTGAGCCACATGACATGATGCTTCCCATCAGAGGATCTGAACAGTATCTGCCACCACTGCAGCTTGCAAACAACTGGAAGGAAACAAACTGCTTAAATATGAAGAAACATCCCCCCTCTCCCAATAAAAGCCCAAGTGATCCCACTCCCAGAGATTGTAATGAATAAATGCAGAGTCTGTAAGCCATGGGTTGCAGATCTGGAATTCACAGTAAAAGGCTCACAAGCATTCAAACCTGGGGGCTGGCTCTGCAGGGACAATAAAAGGATCACAAGTAAGAAATCACTGTGCTTTGTCTGTAGTGATTTCACACAACCAGCATTGCATGGAAATATTTTAGATTCAAGCCTGTTCCCATTGCATGGCTGAGAAATGCAGGCACCCGTTTGTTTTCATGAGGATTTTGGCTGAGCCCCTGTGATGCTTCAAAGCAAAAGTCAAGGTTCTTGCATGTGCACCAGCAAAACAAGACAGATTCTGTTCTTGCATGTGACATTCATTACTAAAGGTGACATTACAGAATAGTTAAGGTCAGGCCTGAAAAAAATACCACCATGTAGACATCTTATCCTCACTTAAGTACCTACCTCAGCATTTAGTTTAAAGAAATACAATACTGGGAATATTTATGTGCTGTCAGGACTCTGCATCTCAAGAGTCTCTAATGCTCTGAACTCTTAGGCCAGGCTTTGGTTCAGCATAGTGGAAAAACCCCAAGTTTATTTACAGTGCTTCAGTTTATTACCAATGCCACTCACACTGTAGCACTGCACTCAGAGGCAGCTTCTTTCTTCACAATTGCAAAGATGTACAAATTAATTCCCTTTCTTCCCAGCTCACCTTCCTTTCCTCATCCACCAAACTTACATCTTTTCTTACCTTTTGTTTGTTCTTCCCAGGGTGAGGCAGCTTGCAAGGAGATTAACGCAGAAATTTACCTGGAATGCTCAGCAAAATGTCGTGAGAACATAGAAAATGTTTTTAAAGAAGCCACAACCATTGCACTGGGTGCCATGAAGAAAGCCAAGCGCCACAGGAAACAGAAAGTGTGCTCAGTGTTATGATCTGGACTGAACGAGAGCCAAGTGATTCAGATTTTATAAACAGTTTAACTTTAAAAACTTTTTTTTTTTTTACATGTTTGTATTCCTAGGATAATTTTTATTTTAAAAATTTAATTATTTTTAGTATTTTTGCACTTTTGTTACATTGTTCTCAGAGTTTTCAAAACTGTTTATCACAGTTAACTCATGCTGTGTGCCTTCACCCATCTGGCTTTTGCTTCCAAGTGTGAACAATTCACTATTTAAACTGCAATGAACAGCAACTGCTACTATATAACTTAGTGTTGGGGTTTTTCTTCCTCTGCAAAATAATTGTGGCACATTAGAGCTACAATTTACTGCCTTTTTCCAGTAGAAAACTCATATATTTCAGAAGCAATGTTAAAGCAGCTCATCAAGCACCTTTGAAGAAAAAATTTTTGTCTTAACATTTTCAAGTTAATTAATTTGGTGGCAATGGCCTGAGTTGGCCTCAAGCTGCCTCCTGAGTGCAGATGGAACATCCACCACCCCCTGGACCAGCTCTGCAGACCTGCACCTCAGAGTTCTTCAAGGCCTGCTGCTGGAATGGAAAGTGGCATTTATCAATGGAAAGCCATCAGTTGCTCCAATTAAATGGTGGAGTATCATGGGAAATGGTTAATTTACAGCACTTGAATTTAGAAGTACTCCAAGCAGCTACTACATGTAATGTTAAGTCAGTCTTATGATAAACATTTACAGCTTAATACAAGACAGATGCAAATCATGGTGCACACTGAAGGAAAAATTCATTCACTCATGAAATCATCTCTACTGGTATAAATTAAAATTCTTCCTTTTGTGATGAAGGTGTCAGTTGTCTAAGGATCAGGGAGGCTCCCACTGCACACCTGGTACATGTGCCTCGTACCTCCTGGTTCTTTTGCACATCTCCTCACTGAGATCTGATTTTAGTCATCAAAAAGCAAACCTGAGAGGGGAAATGAGACTCCTGCAGTACAGGTGAAAGCTTTCTGTGTAAGGCAAACTGTACGTGACCAGCTGGTGCAAAACTGTTTTGGAGCAAGCCACCGTTATTGTTTTACATGCAGAGTAAACAGATCTTGACTCTTGAAAAATCTTTTTCTTTTCATTTTTCTCCTAACTTGTTTTGATTTAATTAAGGTTTGTGAATACCTATGAGCCTAAAAAGGGGAAGTTTAATTAATTGGAAGTTTGTGCACATCCTTGACTATACAAAAACCTTGAAGAATTGTGCAGCCTTTTCTTCACTTGTCACTAAAAGAACCACCCTTCACCTCACCCAGTACAGAACTGAAACACCAGTGTTCAGGAAGTGACCCATTCACCATCAGCTCCACAGTGGAAATCTCTCTGGCTTTTTTAATCTGAGTTTCTCAGGTTGCAGAACTCACGTTACTCACCCCTGCAGAACCAGGTTCCAGCATAATGCAACAGATCACATAAACAGCAAAATACAGCCCAACTGGTGTGAAAACTGTTGAAAATATGCAAATTGCAGTTTATTGTTCATGCCCACAGGACAGTGGCATGGCAAAGGTAATTTTTTTACCTAGTTTGCAGCAACAGAACTGATGAATCCAGCTCAAGCCTGTGGTGCATTATCTGTCCCCTCGTGAGCAGACTGGGGAGGAGGGCACTGTTTTCCACTCACACTGCCAAAGAATGTGCCCAGTTTGGGCTTTGTGCTGGTTCAAAGGGAGACTTCACTGCTGTGAGAGACACAGCCCAAGGCAGCTCAGTGCTGCAGCTGCCTGAGGAGGTACAGCACCCAAAAAAAGGGTGTTCAAATGAGTGACTGTAAAGTCAAGCAGCACAAGGACTGTAGCAGGGTAGCAGTCAGTGTTTGTCCCCTGCCATCCACTTGACCCAGTGTTTCCATTCTCTTCAGCATTGGTACACGTGCAGCATCTAAAGACAGTATTTAATATCTGAACTGAGTCTGTCCTCCCCCTTTCCAGAACCATGCCTCAAAAACCAACCCAAGGGCTGTGTGTTTGTTACAAAAAGGGGGCAGAGGCAGCTGCATATTGAATGGTTTATTTTAGGTCCTGTCAGGCCTGGACAAATGACCTGGTCTCCCTGGAAAAGGACTAGCAGACATCCCTGCCATTTAAAAACTGCTTTTGCTTGCATGATTTTGTTTCCAAAGGAGGAATTTCTCTTCTTTAGATAGCTTTTTAGAAGTGTATATAGCAGCAGTATGGTACAAAGATGAGCATTTTCTTTTCACAGTACACATAGTTAGTATTGCCACTGAGAATATGCCTTAAACAAATGCCTTAAAAAACAGCATTCGCTCTGTATTACTGATCCACCCAGAGTGTTCATAAATCTCAATAAATTCAAAACCCAGAATTTAAATAATAAAACTGGAAAGTGTCAGGTATCATTCCAGAATTGGAATTACAGTAGATCCCACATATTCCCCAACGCTGGCACTTTGCCAGGCAGGTGCATGCTGCTCTATATACAGAACAAAAACCCCAGAAGCAAATACATTTTATATTAAATATACATAAATAGCAGGAGTGTGACTGTAGAGCCATGCTTGCATTAATACTGAGTCTGTGCTGGCAGAGTCCTTCACCAAACACAGGGACAGGAGAGTCCTTCCGAGCCCATCCATCGCCTGGCTGGGGTTGAGCAGGATCTGTCCCAAACCCAGCCCTGCTGGGGACAGAGAGATAGATGCACACTGGGAACAGGGGGAGTCACAGCTTCTTCACCTTGTCTTTGTTCTTCTGGAGTTTAGTGTGCACCACCTTGAGAGTAGTGAGGAAGTTCCCGAGGAAGAGCAGCAGGAATGTGAAAGCCAACACAAAAACCTGAAAGGGGAGAGGAAGCAGCATTTATTACCTTGTAATATTACAACATGGATTATATTCAGTACTGCTGGGCTCTGCCAGACACAGAACAGGACCTGTGCTGCATTATCCTGAGATATCTGAATGAAGTCAGAAGCCCAAATATCTTTCAGGACGTGGTCAAGCACCCCCTCTCTGCCCTGCTCTGTTCTGCTCCTGAGCAGAGCCAACACGCACCTGCCATTCTTTGCATTCCTTGTGCCTTGACAATCTGAAAAGCGTGATTGCATTGTACAGCTGCCAGAACTGCAAAGGGGAAGAGAAAAAGGCAACTTAATTACAAGCAAAAAGAATTAAACCTTGGAAACATTCGTCATGGTTGCCTGTGATCCAAAGCACCTTTGTGGGGGGGTGCAGCAGCAGACATTGTGCCGCAGAGGGAGGAGGGCATCATCCAACTTACATGCCCGAAGAACAAGAAGGGAAGGAGAAATGTCAGCCCCCTCCACATCCAGGACTGAAATCCTTCTGGAAAAGGTTGACAGAAGAGGCAGAGCATGAGCATAAAGAGCCAGGACTGGACCTACAGCTGTTCCCCACCCAGACCACCCCATGAGGGCTATTCTTGTCAAGTAAAAATATTTTCTTGAAATTGCTGTAGTTGGAGAAGGATGAAGTTGGGGATGACCAAGACCTCCATCTTAGTCTCCTCAAATGCTGACAAAGCACAGATACTTCTGCTCCTGACCCACAGGACCCAAGGAGGGGGATAAAAGCCTCGCTACCCTTCCTGCCTTGGGACACAGGCAGGTGGGCAGGGGACAGCTCTGCAATGTCAGGGCACACAGCCCTCTCCCTCTCTATCAGTGCATCCAAAACCTGTGCAGAAGCAGGGCAAAGAAAGCATAGCAAGAGACCTCACCTACTGTAAGGTCCAAGTGGTTTCTCTCCCCCAAAGCCCGGAGCCTATAGAGGCAGCCCCTTTGGTAATAATACTGTAAGAACTGAACACAGCCTGGAGAAGGAGAGAGAAAACATCACTACATTGGTTATTCAAAAGTGTGGTAAGTATCAAACTACTTTAATAATGTTTAATCCAACAGCATTTAATTATTGCTTATATTTATGGATTTCGTATTTGTACACTATCTTTATATTCCTACAGTTTGTTATTCCAGTATTTACCAAACAAAAGTGTTTTCTTCTAAGCACATATGACACAAAATTAATTCATCCCTTGAATTAGCAAGGTAAGATATACTCACTCTGAAATATTGAAAATGCTAAAAATTGACTGCGAAACATCTGATACATGAGTCCATCTGGCCTGGAAGCAGAACACAGGGGAGGTCCATTAGTTTGCTAAAAGCATCCAATGCATCCAACCCTTCCCCTTCACCACCAGGCCTGATCCCATTAGCAAATGAACCAGCAGCTGGTACCCAGCCCATTCCACCCATTGAGAGGTGCTACAGCCACACAGGAACTGCTCTCATTGATTAGGTTTCCCCTCTCTAACAAGGATAAATGCTGTCCCCTCTTATCCATTATCAGTTTTCTCCAGGCAGCAAAGCCATTCGGCATTATCTGCATTGAGAATTCGAGCACTCAAACAGGGGGTGGTTGTGCTATTTATCCTGAGGGCAGTTCAGGATAGATGGAGGGGAAGAGACCTTCTGCCCCAGCCACTATGTCAGCCCCTTACAGATACAGGAGAAGAAGCTTCTGTTGTTTTAAAACAATTTTTAATAATTAACTCATCACTTCATGCCCAAGTTGAGACAGGTTGCACGGGGGGTGCATCGTGGGTTGTCTGACCACCACCACCACCCACTGCAAGGCAGTAACTTGCATTTTTGGCTTTAAACTCTGTGATTAAGGCTCAGAAAAGGCACCAAGCATTCATTTTGTGGTGTCCTTCCTCTATAGCAAAGTGCTGCTTGTCTCCTTAATTACAGAGACAGAAACTGGGAGACTTACAGAGATTTTGCTATCAACAGCCCAACTACAGCCACAGGGTTTGCATTTATTTCTATTTTTTTTTAACTAGCAATGTAAATACAAACTTGCAGCGTTGTGTTTATCACTGAAAACATCTGTAACATCAAACAAATATTAAGGCTGACACTCTGCCATGTGTCCTGTGGCCACAGCTTCATGGTCACGCCGGATTTAAATGCTCAGATGATATAAACACCATGAAACAGGCTTGAAGGACCTCGAGCAGGCAGGAGCAGACTCACCACGTTAACATCACTCCAGACAGGAACGTGGAAACGTAGTGATGAGACACCCACCAGCCTTTGATCCTGAGCAGAAAAAAACATGGCAGTTAGACAAGAAACATGGATTTCAGCACTGAAGTCCAACCTCACAGGCAAAAAATGATCCAAAAAATGGGAACAAAGCAGATGTCCCAACTCAAGCACAAGGGATGCTGTGGCAGTTCCAACCAAAGATGTGTGACCTCTAACAAAAGGCAGCACACACACCCCAGAGCACATCTACAGCTAACCCACAGCTACCAAAACCAGCCAACACTTTGGACCAATAACTTAGGGACTCTCAGGAACTGCAACTGCTCTTTCCCCAAACCTCAGGTGCCCTTGGAAGTGACCAGGGAGGAGGAGAGAGACAAAAGACTCTGCAGAGAGGCCATCAGCATCTCAGATTTGCTGGGCTTCAGTGCCAAGCTGAATCCCTTTTTGTTGCTTGGTTTTTTTCTAAGGACATTTCATGCTTTCCATGGTTTTTGCAGGAGGCACTGTACCTTGAGCCATTGCTAATGAGAATGCTTTCCCGTATCGTCAGCGTGCAGTAATACCACACCAACAGAAAGTTAAACACTTCATCTGTCACCCTGTTAAACAGAAAAAACAGAGTAAAAAAACATCTTGTTAATTATAAAGATGCATTTTAAAAATCCCTATTTTTCCTTTCTCTTCCTGGGTAGATGAAAACCTGCCCAAGTGAAGCTATGGACACGAAGTCCCATCCTGAACATCTCTAACCCGCATGCAGCACTGCCAGGCTCCAGGACCCTTTCCCCTGTGATTCAACACTGCAGATCCTGAGCTGATAAGCAGGTATGCAGGGATGACATTAAGTGCTGCTCAAGGAGAGAAAGCACCACAGAAGCAGCAGATGATCCAATTTAGAGAGGCCTTTCCAGGCTAATTCAATGAGGAGATTCCATGAGATCTATATAAATCCAATCAACTAAAAGAATGGAAGAGCATTATGCTCTGGGGCAAAAAACCCAAAACACCAAAACTTTATTTTGTCATTTGCAAACTCCTGACACCAAAGGAATTTGGGACAGCCTCTGCACAGGGCAACATCATTCCTGGGATGATCCTGTATTCACCCAGACACACATAGACCATAGTGGAAGTGCATGGCTGCAACACCTTCCTGGTTTTTAATCAAAACTGAATAGTGGAAGCTTGTTGGTGCTCAGACACTTTATCACAACCTAGAGATAATGCTTCAGGTCTGATTATTTCACACATATTCTCTTTTGTTACCCCAGAGCTGCAGCACAGTGTTGGTTCTTGCCTGGACAACCCATAAGCAAAACCAACTGTTCCCAAGGACAGCTTGATGCCAGAATAACAACATCATCAGAAAACACAATGTTGGGCTTCCTCAGTTACAAAAAACTCTTTTAAAAAGGAAAAATAATTAGATAAAGTATAGCTCCTGCCAGAGCTGCAGGTGTCCTGCTGTCCAATTGCTCAAAGCCTTAACACCACCTGAGCTGTCTCACTGTCCTTAACAGTACATAAGATAATTCAAACCCAGCACAATTATATGCAAAATACTTGATAAGAAATAAAACTGCAGCTGACCTGTAGTGGAGAAAAAATCTGCAGGCAACAGCCCCGAGTAACAAGATTATTGTCAGATAAAGTTTGAACTTCTCATACTCGTCCTTGTAGGCAAACCTGGAAGGAAACAGGTGCTGTTTATGGACACAAACAGATGTTTGACTGGAATGTGGCTTCACCTTTTCCAGACCACAAACAAAGCTAAATGCCAATCCAGAGACAGAGGTTTTGCTGAAACACTTAGAAAACAGACAGTGATGAAAGGCAGCGTTCTGCCTGCAGGGAGGGTCTGTCTCAGCTGCAACACAATGCCTTAAGTGCATCAGAGCTGGTTGCTGGGTTGGCACAACAAGATTTAAAATATACATATATATCTCCATTTTCTGGAGCATTGTATGCCTAGAAGTCACAGTACCATTTTTCATCACCAAAAAACTCCAAACACTTTTACCATTAAGGCCACAGGACTTAAAAACAAGCGATGGATGGAATCAATTTGAGCTATATAAGATGTTTGCTTATCCCCATGTCATAGTCCAATCACCCACCCTCAACATTTCACTTATCAGGTCTAAGAGAAACCCATTCCCCTCTCTGGGCTTCAGTCCACACCCACAGCTGGCCCCAGAGAAATCCAAATTCACACATGTGGGGAGGCTCACTCACTTTGCTTGGTTGCTCAGGAGAGTGACATTCACATTTCCCAGCACCAGATTTAAGTACAAGCTGAAAGACAAAAGCCAAGAGCAGACCCAAGTAAGTTGTTTTATTTGAACAACACAGGATGATCTAGATCAAGATGATGAGGCAGTGGCTCTGCCAAAGCCACGTTTGCTGGAGGTTTTTAATTAAGACAGACTGGAGGGAAAGACTACAGAAGAGGTTTACACGTGGAAGTATTGGTCAGCATTTCCAGGAAGTTACTGAAAAGGTTTATTTTCCTGGTCCCTTTTTTTGCACTACAGTCTAAGGGCAATATATGTAGTATATATAACCCCAAATACAGGGAGGATTTGGAAGAAAAGTTTCTTAGAAACTTCTGGGGGCTTCAGCACCACACAGTCCTTGACAACTGACATAACTCTGTCCTAGAAAACCCACTTGAAGAAAAAGTTACAGTTGGTCAAAAATATTATTTAAAAAAAAAAAGAGAAAAGTCTTGTGCTGATTCAGCCCTCAAAAAATTACCCCAGGAAAACATCAGTGTGGAACACTGGCACAATCCCTTGCCAGTGCAGGTTACTGTCATTTTAACAGAAAACCTGCACTGCCCACACACATTTACATCCACTCACAGCTAATGAATTCTGTGTACAACTGACACAGCAGCTCAGCAAGAGATTTATGACTAATCCAATTTTACATGTCTTTCTTTAACCTTTTCCTTCAGGAACAAAGCACCGTGAACATTTAAAAATCCAAAATTCCTGGAGCGCGCGAGCCTCCCCGGCGGAGCACGCACCCGTTCCTCTTGGGCAGGTAGGCTTCCATGTCAAAGAAGACATTCTGCCTCTCCTTGATCTGGCTGCTGATCTCCTGAATGAGAGCAAACTCCTCAGGACTCGCTCTGGGCTTGCACCTGCAAGAACACAGAAACAAGATATTCCTGTTCATGTTTTCACCTCCTTTTTATTTGAAGGAAAATAATGTTGTCATAAAACCCAGGTTGTTATAAAGTTGGCTCTGTGAGGTGATGCACTTTGCTCCTGTAGTTCTGAGGCACCATTTGGTTTATCACAACTTTATTTCACTGCCAAGTTTATGCTGCTGTAGGTTACTTCAACCAGCTGATTTATAAATCAGCTTCTCTTTTCATCAGCTCAGTGACAGGATCGCGTGGGAATATTGTGCTTTTCTGAAGGAACTCCCTCCACCCTGGGAACTTTGTGCATGGTTTCAGGCACTGCCCTTGCAGAGGCTGCAGCTCTTCAGGCATGAAAGTATTTCAGGACATAACAGGACACAGAGCTGATGATTTACTGACAAACTGTGGTTTTAGTAATTAGTGTTAACCAGAGAGCAGCAGAGCCAGCAGCCTGTGGTGTCAGAGGTGCTGTACTCAGGCCTGCACACAAGGAATTCAGCACATGGCTCCTGGGATCAGCCAAGCAGCCAAAAACAGTTCCCTCCTGTAAATCCACCCAGGAACAAGGTACACCTTCAGGTTCAAGGACTGATATTGCTCTTCCAGTGCAGTTTACAGAGCAAAGCACAGCCAAAAGCTGCCCAGTCCTGCAATGTACAGCATGCACTGCAAGGATGAAACCCACACCAGCTCCCTAAAACTTCTTTATTTACAGGATTCCCTCTCTCATGCAATATATTCTATTGGGTGTATTCTATTTAGCACTGCAACATAGATTGTCTATTAAAAGTGCTAAAAATCCAAGCATTTCAGCCTTTGGGAAGGAGAAATATCTCATCCCTGCCTCCTCCACTCTCCAGGTTACCGTTGCAGGCTGTGCTTCAGATCCCTCAGTGTCTTCTTCTGCCGGTGTATGGAGCTGCTGCAGGCTGTCTGCAAGCCAGTGACTTCTTCCAGTTTCTGCCTGTAAACTTTGTGTGTTTCCTGCAGGAGAAGAGGAGATGATTGGTAGGAAGAGCCCTTCTAGGTTATTCACAGCATTTGGTCCTTAACTCCAAGTGAAACAAGGAAAATCCTGTTTTTATGGGATACAACAGGCACCCCTTTAACAAGCAAGGAGGGGAGATGCCAAACCAGTACAGATACAATAGGGCTTAAATGGACATTGATGAAATTCCTGCAAGAGGAAAAGCATCCTCTACACTCATCTCATTTCCTCTTCAAAGAGCTTTCCCACTCAGGAGCTCCTCTCTCCCATCCCACCCTGCAATGGAGCCCCTAATCCTTGAATCCCCTAATCCTCCATTTGATCTTGATCCATGCCCATCAAATGGTGGCTAAATCACAGAGCAGGCACTCCAATTTCACAGCCAGATTAAATCTTGGAGAAAAGAAATGGGGACCTAAAGAAGGGGGCAGGGGGGAGGAGAAAGACACAACAACCAGGCACAAATTCGTGGCTGAGGGTTTAGGCACCTCCTGGCCACAACTGCCATCCCAACCCCACAGATATTCAGGCAACCTACTGCTCCTTATTCTGGTTTAAAGAGCTGAACTGATGTCCCTGCCTGTGGCCTCAGATGCTCCTGAGAGGAATTGCTTTATCACAGCTCATTGGTCCCCTGAAGCCCCCAATTAGTGCTCAGCAGTAACGAGGACACACCAACTGCAAACCCACTTCAGGAAACCTGGGCTCTACTTTTCCACCCCTTGCGAGGATTTCACCCCTTCCCCATGAGGAAGGTCTCAGGAAGGGCTCCCCAAGAACCAAGCAATGACCTCTGGGTCAATTTTAAGACCTATAATAAGCTGGAAAACAAAGTTTGCAGAGTTAGTGCCAAGAGACAGTGTGGGTTACATGGGTGCTTCACCTACCAGCACACCAACAAATTCCCACCGCTCTTTCCAGAGCATAAACATGGTGGTGAAACCACACAAGCCAAATCTTTGCTCTCCTCCTTGCTAGGACCCACCTGGTAGCTGCTCTTTATTTACAAGAACAATCCAAAACAAGTTCCAGTATCTGATTTCAAGACCTTAATAACCAAACCCCTGCAGTCACTGCAGCTCTCAGCGTTTCAGGCTCACTTTGGTTTCACTGAGCACACCTCTACAGCACTAATCCCTGGTCAATGACACCTCGACCACCAGCAGCTGCCAGCCCACCAAAAAGTGTTTCTACTTTCCTTTACAGGTGGGGAAACTGAGGCAGGGACAAGTCACTGACATTTACTGTGGTTTAGGTCAGACTCAGGCAGGGAGCTTGTCAAGAAGGTGCACACAGCAAATGGATGACCAACAAAACCACACCAGCTGCTCTCCCCCAGCACCCAACCCTTGTTTCTGCTAACGGGAGTACAACCTGCACTGAGCTTTAATTAAGAAACAAACTAAATCTGGAAATCACACTTTCGTTCTTTGCATGCACGTTCTGTTTCTCAGTCTAAAAGAGGCTAAAACAGCCGCCAGAGTGAGAAGCCGGTTGTACTTTAAAACTGGCTTTAAGATTTAAAGCACGTGTATAGGTGCAGCACTGATGACAAACAGGGAAGGAAGGGAAGGTTTCTGGAGGTAAAAGCATCTTGCAGAACGGGTCCTGGCCCCTACTCCGAGGCCTTTCCGTCCCTCAATGCACTTTTGCAAGATGGAAAAACAGCACTTGGACCCGTCGTATCCCAGCACGGGAAATCAAACTCCGCCAGGAGATGCTGGCGGGACAGGCGCTGCCTGCACCGCTCTTTGCACCACGCCACGGGTGCACAACCGCACCGCGTCCCCTTTTCCCATCCTTGTTCCAGCAGCGGGAACCGCGGCACATCTTGGTGCATCCTCGGAGGGAGCTGGGGCACGGCCGTGGCTCGGTCTGGGCTGCCCCGTGCGCTCGCAGCGTGGGGGTAGCGGGGCACAAGCTGCCGTGCAGGGATGCACATCCTCGCACCGCTGCGCTCCGTGCGGGCACCGCGCACCGAGCCTGGCCCGCACCTCCGGC